AATGTCCCACAGCTTTTTTATCCGCTCGTCTACTACTGATGGGCACTTGGGCTGTTTCCAGATCTTAGCTATTGTAAATTGTGCTGCTATGAACATAGGGGTGCATATATTCTTTCTGATTAGTGTTTCAGGATTCTTAGGATATATTTTTAGAAATGGGATCACTGAGTCAAAAGGCAGGTCAATTTTTAATCTTTTGAGGAAACTCCACACTGTTTTCCATAGAGGCTGCACCAATCTGCATTCCCACCAGCAGTGTACCAGGGTTCCCCTTTCTCCACACCCTCACCAGCACTTGGCTTTGGTTGATTTGTTGTTGATGGAGCCATTTTTACAGGTGTGAAGTGATAATGGCAGATTGGCACCCATGACCATTTGCCATTTACAATGTCTTCTTCATTTCTGAAAGTAAGAATTTGCTAAACTTCCACTTGGTGATCATAGTCCAACAAGGTTTTAGACAGTTTCATTACAGTAAAACAATGTATGTACCTTATCACAAGGAGATAGAGTAAAATAAGATATTGCCTTAGTCTTTACATCTTATGTCATGAGATATTTTGTGATACCTCTATTAGGAAATAAAGGAAGACTAGCCCTTGCTCCTCCAAAGGGGAAAGGAAAGTTGTAACTGGATATCAGCAGTGTCAATTATTTTTAATGTAAAAGAGTGAAGTAGTTACCAGGGCATATTCACAGATTATTAATGTAGGAATATTTTTTCTCCCTGACCCTGTAAGATGGTAGAGGGCTATGCCAAAAAATCCCTTATGACTCATGCTTTTCTCTTAGAATTCTGAGTATTTTACTAACTTATAAAAAGAGATTATTTATTTTAGGGGGAGGGAGATGGAAAGGAGGTTGGGAGAGTAAAGGGACCTGATTTGGGGGGTTAATTGAATTCTATACAATGAAATCCTGTGATATCCTTATCTTTTCACCTAAAATTATGAAATTTTCTTAATAGTCCAATGCAATTAAATTGTCTGTGTAAACATGGTTACAAATAAAATCACAATATTTTTTTACCTGTGAAAGAAACTCAATTTCTCTCATCTATTATAAGATATAATAGCATATGTTTCTTTTTGTGGGAGACAGAGGCTAGCACAAATAGTAGTGAAATGGGTTATCAGAGTACATAAATGTTTAATGGCATCTGTTGATATATCCTTTTGAGAGATTCCCAGAAGTGAAATAACTGGGTGAGAGGGAACAAATATTTTTAAGAGTTTGATACACGGTGGCAAGTTGCTTTCCAATTTATACTACCACCAGTAATGGGTGATGATAGCAATTTCATCACACCTGCTCATTACTGTCGACGCAAAACAAAATAACACAAGGCTTACTTTATTAAAAAGGTATTATTTTCCTTGAGTAGACAAATACCCTCAAATACGGATATAGGCCAAGCTGTTCTCAGTAATTAAAATCTTTGTGATAGTCTCTTTCTTCAGGTCAGGAAAGGATCACGTTGGGAGTACATTTGCGGAGGCAGGAAAGGGAAACTGTGTCCACTGATAGACAACTCCTTGAAACCTGGGAACATCAAGAGAGCATTAGTTATGCAGGAAGCCCACAAAAGAGACAGATAAATGTTAAGTGGAAAATGGGATAAATGTTAAGTTGTGTAGAGCTATTCTGGAACTTTGGAAATTACTGATTGTATTAGTGTTCTTACCTGGCATAACAGTGCCACAGACTGAAGGCTTAAACAACAGGAAAAAAAATGTTTCTCATGATTCTAGAGGCTAGATGTTTAAGATGAAGGTGTCTGCAGGGTTATTTTCTTCCGGGGGCTTCTCTCCTGGGCTTGTAGATGGCCAGCTTCTCTTTGAGTCTTCTAGTCACAGTAAATTTGGGCCCATTGTAATGTCCTCATTTTAACCTAATTATCTTTTAAAAGGCTATCTCCAAATATAGTTACATTGTGAGGTACTAGGGCAGGAGTGGGTAACGTCCTGTCCAGAAGTCATTTGCTCTCGCCCTGCCAAGGCAAGTGCAGGTGGGACTCAAAATTCAATAAATCTAGGAGCTTTTTTCATAGCTAATTTTTAAGTTGATAATTTTGTATGGCCTTCGAATGATGTTATAAATATCCAAATGGCCCTTGGCAGAAAAAAGATTCCCCACCCCTGTACTAGAGGCTAGAATTTCAATGCATGAATTTTGAGGGGGACAAAATTCTTCCCATAACACTAATGCATTAAAATTTTTGTTTCTCTTTAAAATATTATGTGCACTATACTATTCATGATGCCTCTCTATTTGTTCAGTAATTGTTATGGCATAATCACTATTTTTTATGAGAGAAAAGTATGTTGCACACCAGGATTATTCTGAATTTGTTTTGAATCTTTATGTTCACAAACACACCTGGTTATATAATAAGCAGACACAAAGAATAAAATTTAGTAATAGCTGTATTTGATTTCTTAAGTTCAGTTTGCACACTATAAATAGCATCCTTCATTCCAATACAGCATATCTATTGAACTTGCTCCTTAAATTGGGTCATACATCAGTAGGGAAATGAAAATGGAGTGACAATTTCCTCCAAGATAGGTTGAAAAGTAAGTTGCTTTAGGACTGAACATTTCAATAAGGTTATGTGGAGTAACTCTGCCACTATCCTTATGATCTTTTGACAGCTTTGACAGGGAGAAATGATGTAGCCTGGAGAACGGCTTCCATGGTAAGCTCCATGGCTTATGCTTACAAATTTGACATATGTGATACAGTTAGTTGCATTTCAGTCAGAAAATGGATATATCCAATTTTGTCCATTAAAGACAAAGTTGTTGTATACTTTACAACATGAATAAGGTATAGACAATAAAATTTAAATGCAGCTTCTAAATGCATGCACTCACTCATGCATAAATTAACAACTATTTACTCGGCATTTTTGAAGAAATAGAGATAAGGCATGATGTAAGATGTTGACTTTGATATATCTGGAGATTGTATAGATATACTGAAGAGTCACTTAATGGATACTGATAATTATTAAGGTGTGAGAAAAAACAAAGTCTTGATCAACTCTAAAGCATTTATATTGGGCATAGGGACTTATGTCATTGTGATATTCATTTTAATTTATTTTAAAGTAAGATAGTGATTAGTCTGGTGAAATGATTATTGACTTAGATCTAGTTTTGTAATCACATCTCTTGTTGTGCTCAAAACATAGGAAGGATAGGTAGGTCCCCAGGCATTGCACCGCTGTTTGGCCATTTCCAAGTTTGCTCTAAATTGAATTGCAGCAATAACAACATAAACAACACACTGTGATTCTTTCCCTCCTGTTTTCCCCAGTACATTGTTTTAGCTATAGAAATACATCTGTAATTAATAAATGGTTTTAAGGAATTAATCCCCACCCCACCCCAGCCAATTTTTGGCCTTTGCACAAAAGATCCTTGAAGACAATCAACAAAGTGAAACATGATATGTTTTTTAGGTTGTATATTGCGCTTAATCAGTATCAAGGACGTGCATGTTGGCTAGTAATCCAGGCATCAACATTTATTTTCTTGTATACATGACCCATGGACACAGACAATAGTGTGGTGAAGGCCTGGGGCAGGGGCAACAGGTGGGAGCGAGGCAGAAGGGGTCAATGGGGGTGAAAAAGAGGACATCTGTAATACTTTCAACAATAAATATAAATTTTAAAAAATTAAAAAATAAACATAGGAAGTGTGACATTTCTAGTTTTGGCCACAAAATAAAGAATTTGGCCTACATTTATAAATGTGTATATGTGTGTGTATTTTTAAGCAACAAAATCCTGTCATTAAACATTACCTTATGTAGACTCTTTAAGTCGGTGTGTGTGCTCTGCTTCAGTAATGGCTGAGGGGACACTCTGGAATGATAAATAGGGGATTCTCATGTGTACCAACACACATTGAGGGTTCCTAAACAATGGGTGAAAGAAGGGTTCAAACTGTGAATCCCCTAATTCATAGTTTGAATTCAGTTTACTTGGTTATCCACTCAGGTGACTTCAAAAGCTAAACTTCGGAGAGCTTTAAATATGGAAGAAACATTTATTTTTATTTCTACTCTATGGATGCTATTTATCATTCATGGTAAAACTTCTATTCCAAACTATGGGTAAGAGGTCACAAAAGAAGTTTATTTCTTCTAATTTTTCCTGAAATCTAGAAATTTCAATCAGATAGGACTCCAAAAAATATGAGCAAAGTGAGTAGTTCTTCCATTTTACATTATTGAAGTTTTTGTAATTTGTATTCTCACATTTGCAGTGAGAGTTCTTAGATCTGAGCTGTTAGGTAGGTGGGCCTCTGAGCATATCTCGGGAGGTGGCACTGCATCTCAGAGAATACTAAACAGGAAGAAATGACAGAGATGCTGGGATTCAGGGCAGCGAAACCTGATTCTTTGTCCTCTCCTGATTTGTAAAGTACCGAAGCTCAGTTGAACGTATTTAAATATATTATCTGCACATACATTGTAGTTTTACTGCCGAAAATTTTGAAACATTATCATTGTGTTAACTTTAGTTGGTGTTCCACTGCCCTTTTTTGATGAACAAATATCATAAGACTTTTATCATCATAAAACCTGTGTAACCTGCTTCTTCATCGTCCTGTTTGGAGCCTAATCATTCATGTAGCATTTTTGAAAAGTGATATCTGAGCTTTTGCCTAAAATCGACCTTTGTGTATTAGGAACTGAATCTGTTTCTATATTTCTCTCTGGGGAAAAAAGTTTATTTCAGGACATAAAGGAACAGAGCTCCTTTGGAGTTTCAGACTGAGAAGTATATCAGACTATCTTCTTCCATCCTTTCTTTCCTTAGTGAACTTTAGCCAATAAGACAAAAGATAGACCATCTTTTTGAAGTTAATGGACAGATACACCTGAGCAATGGTTGAGGTTTAAGCCATTTCTTGTATTGGTATTTCGCAATCGGTTTATTATACTAAGTATACTAATTAAGAATGTATATTTGTTTATTCCATTAGGTTCCTGTCCTGAGACCACAGCAGGATGTGCCTTGGACAAAGGTATGCACATTTTAAATGTATTTGAAATTATCTCCACAAGTAAAGTGTAAAAATGTTAGGATAATAACAACATTGTTGTCACATGCTTAGATATGTGAAATTGTAGTACATGTTCATGTATGTCATACACACACTTACCTCTGAAAAACATATGATACTAGGGAGAAAACATCAGAATCAAAAATCTGATTATCAAATGCATGCTGCAGCCTGGGCACAGAAAACCTTAATCCATACAGCATCTATTCAAAGAACTGTTATCACTAATGCCCTTCAACGTAAAACCATAGAACTACCCGTTGAAAGGTTGGTGGAAGGTGTTTATCATAGTCTTTAATAGCTCTGATGAATATTATTGAAATAGGATATATGTGAATCAAATTGTCAGTCAAGAACTATTTAGGAGTGTCTAAAACTTGGGTAACCAAACGGTGAAATTACTTCAAAGCTCTAGATCAATTTGAAGAGGGAACAAAGAGGACAATAAACATATAAATGAGTAAGAAATATATAAATGCACTGCATGAAAGGTAAGGGGGATGGCGCAAGGCCAATACGAAGATGCCTGTGATTTCAAAATGGAATTCTGTTGTTAACCTGTGAACAGGGGTCACCGTAAAGATCATGAATTGTAGTAACCTTGACTCCCAAGAGGGAGCTGAAAATAAAATAGGTATGATGAATAAAAAGTGCACAGTGGGAACTCTGAGTAAAGACCAAAAGGAACTAAGATGCTTAGGGACCGTGGTGGAGAAAAATGAAGACTGATGAAATGAGTTTTATGTATGGAACTAGCAAAACCAGTCCTGTTCTGTGGATGAAGTAGCAACGGAAAAAGAATACTTAAACTAGCACGTAAAGAATTTAAGTGAGCTTGAGGAGAAGTATTGAGAAGCTTGATGCCATTTCTCTGGAGGTATTTAAATAGCAAATAGATTGACAAATGTCTCTATAGTTTCTCTAAGGCTTCTCTAGGTCATTTGTCCTAATCAGGGGCCTTCCAACCCCAGGCAGAAAGTGGTGAGGTGGTGCTTTATTTTTGTGCATGACATGGTAATTATACATTGGAAAGGAAAATGCAGACATATCTGCTATCATTAGTAATAATTCAGGCCTATTTTATTTTATGCAAACATAATATTTAGGGAAATATACTTGCATACACATATTTATAATTTAAGTTTGGCTCAAACTATACTCTGCATGTTCTGCCATGTCACTCTTATGTGAAAAAATAAAGTGTTCTGTAAGCATATCTTTTTGCATACATGGATAATTTTCTGAGATTTTAAAGTTGAAACACACTCCCAGATTTTTTTTGTTCCTATTTTTTAATATAACTTTCCTTTTAGTCATTTTCAGTCCCTGTTTTGAGACTTGTGTGACTTAGAGCATCCAAGGAAAACATGCCAGCCGATGTGCACCGGCAGACCGGGAATGGATGGCTCTGGGCACAAATCTCTGTTGTGTCAAGGCTTTAGCATGACATTTGGCAGGAAACTAAATCAAACATAGCACAGTGCAAATAATCTTGGTTTCCCACAGATGCTCAGCCCCAACCTTGAGGCTGCCATTCTCTCTGATATTTCGAGGAAACAATATTTCTGGCAATGAACTGAAAACTAGGTGTTCTCATAGTTTGAAGAAGTAGGAGAATCGTGGCTTTGAAAGGGGACCTTCCTGGGGTTGAAGGGCAACTCTGTCATTAAGCAGCTATGGAATCCTAGACAGGTTACCTCAAATAGAAAGTAAATTTTCTAATAATTGTCACAGGGGTTGCGTGGGTCTTAAAATGACATAATGATCATAGAGCACCTCTAATATCTGTTACATAATAAACACCAAAACAATATTATTTTATTCTTTTCAATTTTTGTAATGAGTTGGATATTATGTTAAACTTAATAATCATCTTCGTCATTACTTGGACAGAAGATGAATGACTCTGATATGCATGTGTAAGATTTGGATTTTGTCAGCATGCTCAGTAACATTTGTCATTATCTTTGGGCGGGCACTCTTTCCTGAGGAAAAAAATGTTATTGCAAACTTCTTAATTATTTTTTACATTTAGTTATTTTTTAAGAGTTGCACATGATACAAAGTGTCTTCATGTAGGAGAATGTTTGAATGTCTTTAATTTTAGGTTTTGTTAGTGTGGTCAGAGATGGGAAACTGCATTGTAAAATGTAGATGTTTTATACAAATTACACCCCCATAGCATGCCCAAAATATCTTCTTAGTTTAGTTCAATAGTTTGCCAGTTTCCTTACTGAGAAATTACTGTGTGTCATATACTCTATTAGGTGCTAAGGTTACAAAGAAGATGTGCTCTCTGCCTTCAAGGGAATGAGAACAGAGGATACATTTGGCACGTGGTACTAAATATCTAAATGCATAATTTTAACACAATGTGGTAACATACTTCAATGGAGAGGTGCCAGTGGAGGAGTCATGTAGAACAGTCATTTTAATCAACCTGGCTTCCTGGAGGGGTTGACACTTCAGCCTTCTTGAAAGGTGATGATGAACTGAGCGGATATTAGTCAACTTTAGAGAATGAGGGTGGGAAGAGCTTAAGAATAAAGGCAGGGAAGTCAGTTAGCTATCTACTGTTTGAATGAAAACAGAGATAGTAATAATAAAGGTATAGATTTGAAATTGAGAAGTGAAACCCTCCCACATTGTTCTTGAAGGTATAGATTTGAAGGTGTATTTAGGCTACTTTTACCGAATTAAGGTTGATTGATGTGCAGTAGTGCTTAACATGGTGTTATTTATAACGTGATAATGAGAAACAAATTAACTAATGGGGAACCTATTGAATAAATTAATATTTATAAGATATTTTACCTATAAAAATTAATGATTTGGGGAAGAATTTGAAGAGACTGTCTCAAAAAAAATCACGTCAAACTGTGAAATAATATTGCAGTATTATTCCTCTTTTATACATACGCTTTTAAACGTTTCTGTATATATAACACAGAAACACACAGATATTCATATACGCTTTTGTTATGAGACAGAGTTCAAAGAGAACACACAGAAAAATAGTGGAAGAAAACACATCTAAAATAATTAAAGGTGATTATCTCTATGTAGTAGGTATATGTGTGGTCTTTATTTTTTTTGAAACTTTGTTGTGTGTTTTACGTTATATATGGCGATCGTGGTCAACACATTCTAATATGAATCCTGACTCCTGGTTTTCATACCTTTGTGTGACCGCCTCCCTTTGAGTATGGACAGGACCTCTGACTTGCTTCTGACCAGTAGAACATGGAGAAGGTGACAGGATATAACTACCGAGATTATGTTACGTTAGATGGCAAAGATGATGGAATGGCTGTCCCATGAGTATATTAGATTAGTTCTTGCTCCCGCAGAAACTTGAAGAAGCAAGGTGCCCATTGTCCAAGCGGGACTATGGAAAGAGCCATATGACAAGTAAATGTGACAGCCCCTATGAACTCAGGGCTGTCTCTAGGAGCTGATCATGACCTCCGCTAGCAGCCGCAAGAAGTCAAGTACCTCTCTCCTTCAGTCACATGAAAATAAATTCTTCCAACAACTTGATATGCTTGTGTGAATGAAAAAAATATGTCTCTGCCCCAGTTCCTGGCACAGAGCTCCTAAATCCCTTGAAATTTCCTGCATGATGTCTTTTGTACTAGTTAGGTGACTCTGGTGGACTTTTGGGTAACTTCATGATGCACACCGGTCACTAAAATGAGCAAACCATGGTGAGAAGCTTGTAACTTTCTGTCCCTTCTCCCATATTTCAGGAATTGGAGATGGTCAGTCAGGCCTACATGATGAAGACTCCATAAAAATCTTAAAAAAATAAATAAATACAGGGTTTGTTTAGCTTACGGGCTGTTGAATACATTCACCAGCTGGGACGGTGGCACACCCCGGCTCCTTGGCAGCACACTCCAACTCCTGTTTTCAGGACCCTTTTGTACCTCACCATATATATCTCTTCATCTTGCTGTTTACTCATGGTTTGTAATAAACCAGTAGTCTAGTAAGCAAACTAATTTTCTGAGTTCTATGAGCCACTCTAGCAAATTAATAGAACTTGAGAGGAGGGTCATGGGAACCTATGATTGGTAGCTGGTTGGTTAGAAGCTCAGGTAACAACAACCTGGACATGGGATTGGCATCTGAAGTGGGAGTGTATGGGGGGTGGGTGGCTATTCTTATGTGACTGAGCCCTTAAACTATGAGATCTGTGCTAACTCCGGTTAGTGTTGGAATTGGATTGAGTTGCAGGAGACCTAGTTGCTATCTGAGACATGCTTAATGTAAGAAAAAAACAAAACACAAAAAACCCACATATCTGGTGTCAGAAGTATTGTGAGTCTGAGAGTAAAAAAAAAAAAAAAAAAAGAAAAGAAAAATGCAGCATTTTTCCCATACAAGTTGGAAGTGGATGCATTGACCGTGAAACTTCCAGATAGGAACCCAGCCTCATCTTACATTTTGATTGCAGCCTTGCAAAGAACGAAGCCAACTCATGCCTGGACCTAACCACAGAAACTGTGTCTTATTTCAAGCTGTTAATTTGTGGTAATTTCTTACAGAGCAAAGGAAACTAATTGCTGTGGTCCCAGTCGTATCCTCCCCAAACTTATATGTTGACACCTTAAGTCCTAATGTGACTATTTCTAGTTAGGGCTTTTAGGGAGATAGTCAAGGTTAAATGAGGACATAAGGGTAGGTTCCTGATCTGAGAGGATTGGTGGTCTATGAGAGGATTCTCTCTCCTTCTCCTTCTCTCTCTTTCCTGCTCTCTCTTGTTGCTCTCTCTCCACACACGCAAGAAGAAATCACACGAACACACAAGATGATGGCTGCCTACAAAACAGTAGGCTCAGAATGATACCTACCCGCCCTCTCTACATCCCTGACAACATTTAGTGTTGTCACTAATTTTTTATTTTGTTTTAGCCATTCTCATAGGTGTGAGGTGATATCTCATTGTGGTTTTAATT